TGAGAGCTACATGTTTTTTTTTTTGGTGCATGAAAGGAAGCAAAATATTTAAGCTTGATCACGACACGGCCAAAGTGGCGGAGAGAGAATTTTTATCTTCTTCCTTACACGTGGCGGGCTTCTATTGGCTCATGTTGTTAATTTCTACTTCTCCCTGTGTGTATGTGTTTGTGTGGAGCAGTGTTAAATTCAATTTTGTATCCAACCGGCCCAATTATAAGACGACGTCGTTTGTGGTCATGTGAAGCTCGTAAGTCCTAACCTTCCTCTTGACTACAGAAAACTCGAGCAAGCGAGCTCGGGGATTTGAAGTTTGAGCACGATAATCCAAAACAAAGTAAGAATTCAAAAAATTCACAATCTTTTACAGTGCGCTTGTGAAGAGTGACTGGTAAATTGTTCTTTACTTGCATGATTGTTTTGTTCTTTGCTTTTATTCTTCTGTAGCTTCATTTGCTCGTTGCTTTTCCTGTCGAACTCGATCTGAAGTTACATCTTTATGCGCCGTCTACTTAAGTGATTTATGGGTTTAGTTTAATTTAGCTGATTTTATTCTATATTTATGTAAAAAAAGATGCTAAATTTATCGTGGGTTTCTTGTGTTATATTTTATTCATGGGATTGAGCAGGTGATTTTGCTGACTGATGTTTGTTTGGCTTATGTCTGCATTACTGAATGTACTAACTATGTTTTCTTGATTTGATCATTGTTTTTTTCACAAAATCTTGTATAAGTTAACCTAACGGTTAGGCGGGTCGACTGTTTAAAGCTCGTCTTTAACTTTTCATATAAAAAAATTGTTCCCTTTTTCTGCTTCGAATTCTTTATTATATATAAGTTTATTGTTTATTGGTAATGTTGGATTGGATTTATTCGGTTTTATTGTTCACTTTAGTAGCAAGTGTGTTTCTCTTCGAGCTAAATAGGTTGTGCTGTAGTGAATAGTCATACTCATACATTAGCAGCTTGAATAAATTAAATGAACCCGAGGTTTTCAGTTTTGGGTTTAAAAATGTGAAACTTTTTCATGATATTGGCATCTGATTGAATGTCTGCACATGCTAGGTTCTTTTTGTGTCATTTGCTCTAAGGGTATGCAAAGATGATGGCTTGTAGTCCCATCAGCACATGCAGCAAAAGAGTAGTTTGTTTGATTGGAAACTTCCAAAGACCGCCGATTATTCGTGATTCTTATGCCTCTCGGCAATCATCATGTAATCACTATACCTCCGGCAAGCACCCAAGATTACATTTTTCTCCTACAAACGGCTTTAATTGCCATGAATTGACGTTTAAAAGATCGATCAGGCCTAGGCTGCATCGTAACACGCGTGTTAATGTTTCTACTGGAAATGGGGACATGGATTTTAGGCTTTTTGTACCTAAGCAATCATCGAATTCCAAAATTAAGTGTAACGTGGGGCCCTTTTATTTGAACCAGCGGACTTTATATTCTGGCGTTTTTATGGGATTATTGGTTTGTTTTTCTGCTTCTCAACCTTCATATGCGGAGGCACCTGAGGGAAATCAAAAGAAAGGGGGTTATTGTGATGCTGATTCTGGCGGCCACTCGCATAACAAGAAAGTATTGACCGACTACTCTGTGATTGGTAAGTAGTGTTTAGTTAAGGTTCATCTTCTTTAGTTTATTCGTGCATTTTGATATGAAAATCTATGTTAGAGTGCGTTTGTTTGAGCTTATAAGCTCTTGACAAGACCTTAATGTTTTTCTCTAAAATTTCCCGGGTAAGATCGTTTATTTTTTGTGACTTCAGTTGCCTCGCTCAAATCGCATGTTTATTACCAGCTAATAAAGATTACAAATATTTTTATTAATGGTAATGTGTAGGTATACCTGGAGATGGAAGGTGCTTGTTTCATTCTGTTGCCCATGGAGCATGCATACGAGCTGGAAAGCCTGCTCCGAACGAGAACCTTCAAAAGGAACTAGCAGACGAGTTACGAGCTAGAGTATGTTCCAGATTTATTTTTACGCTTAAATCACTAAGTAACCCTTGGTTTTCTGCCAAATTGCAAAAGAATAAAACAACAATAGTCTTTGGTAATACAATACTGTCCTTGACATCTGAAGTGCGTAGTTTTTATGATAAACTGCAAATAATCGGCTGAGTCTGAAGATTCTTTTTTTTTTTCATTGGAAATATGAAGTTTGATAGTGGTTCTTGCTGTTCATTAGGTTGCCGATGAATTTATCAAGAGACGAGAAGAAACAGAGTGGTAAATCAATGGAGATTGCGTTTTTTACTTTTTTATCGATATGAAAGACTGACTTTACATTTCTTCTTCCTACTGCATACATTCTCGACCATTATGCTGTGATATCAATTACGTGATGAGATATTAAACTAATTATAAACTTCGGCATGCAAATCGTTGTTATTATTCATCCAATCAAGCCTATTCAATCGAGTGCGCGATCTTAATTTTTTTTCTCTGTTTAGCTTATATTTGGTTACATCATAGTTTGTATTACTAATGTCTCAGGTTCATAGAGGGAGATTTCGAGACATATGTTTCGAAAATAAGGAGACCTCATGTTTGGGGAGGTGAGCCTGAATTGTTGATGGCTTCTCATGTTCTCCAGTAAGTAATCTGCACATTAAGCGTAAAATTTTACGTTTATTCTTCGTGGAAGTGTAATCATTGGTGAAATTGATCGACAAAAAAAAAA